AATGGGCAAGCACCCTACCCGTTTGGCGTTACAACGAATGCCGATTCACACGAAACGCGATGTGTGAGCGAAGCCCCCATCGACGGCCGTCGAAAGCTGTTCGTTGTTTCCGGCGCCACCAGGAAACCATCGACCACGGGGCGTGCGTGCCCGGTACCCATGCCCTCAAGGAGATGCCGTGCAGCAATCCTGTGCAATGTTGCGTCGCCTGTTCCCTGGAACCGGAGTGTCGCTCCTTTAACTGGATGGGGGATAAATGTCAGCTCAACAACATAACTCTCTCAGCACGGTCCGGGGTGGGCCACTTTGAGCAAGGTGACGAATGCCAAAACTTTGAACTCCAAACCTCCTAGTCAGTTTGTCATCTTTCATCATCCGAACATCAAAAACGTTTTTTCAGGACACTGAAAAATGTACGGATACTTTTTGCGATGTACTTTAGTTTATTTTCGTAATAAAGTTGCCTCCCGCCAGGTCTGCATGTATGCAGAAGTTGAAACTCAAATAGTTCTATTCAATAAATGATAAGTGGTAGACAGTTTATGGAGATTGTAAATTGCAAATTGTATTTTCTGAATATTCAAACTATACACTGCAAAAAGTGTGTTTTAGCTATTTAAACACTTTTCTAAACACTTTCTTGCTATCAGTTTGTAAACATGTTTAAATACATGTACTAAACATGTTTAGGGTGAGGATGGCTAGTGTTTGGCAATTGAACATTGATGTTTAGGAATTGGACACATAATGTTTAGCTTCTAAACATGTTTACAAAGTGATAGCAAGATAGTGTTTAATTGCTTAACACAGTTTTATAGAGTGTGTTTTTAGATTATGTTTACAGTGGTAATTAATATTTGCACAGTGAAGTTTTATCGTTCTGTTTATGGCACTGATTCTTCAACTGTTGATTTTTTACGAAGTGATAGGACCCCGTATTCTCTCGAGAAAAAAAATCTCCTTAAAATATGCACCTTTAAATAAACTTCACAAACTTCGAACTATTTCTGCTTAAGCACGTTAATGAAGCTTTAATTAAACAATTTTATTGTATTATTATTGTATAAATGTTTTCAGGGTCGTGCATGTCATGTCAAGGCTTTCATAATTATATAGCGCACTATGATATTCGTCAAACCATCCAATTTTTAAAAAAAGAATATACAGGGCGAGTCAAAAGGAAAATGACCGAATTAGACAGAGAAAGATATCATAAAAAAATTATAGCAAGCTTTGCAATCAAAAAGTCAAAATAAAATGTGTTTGAATTTTTTGTTCACGAAATATTAGGAAACGTTTTTTTTTCTAACTTGAAAAGTACAATCTTTATAAGAAACAGTTGCCCGATAGCGAAAAACAGTTCAGACGATGTATTTGAACTAGCGATTTCAGTTAAAAAGTGCGGGGGGGGGGTGTTCCCCGCCCCAGCCCCCTCCCCCTCCCCCAGTTTCGCCACTGACAGTCTGTGATGCCTTCTTTTTTTTCTCAAGAAATGAACACCAGAAGTGACGAAGGCCTTGAAAAAGAAATATAACTATATATATGTCAACTGAATTTGAAAATATTTCAAAAATATTTGGCTTGCTCTATTTAGAAAAAAAAAACCACCTTAGGGATAAACAAAGAATAAATAAATAAATCTATTTAAACACAAGCAACTAAAATTATCGCTGGCAGAATTTGGCACCACTCCCGTGTCAATCAAGGTCATGCCTAAGCAAATTACAGGATATAAAAGTGAGTAGGGCACGGCAACCGGACACTAGTCTGTGATACTTTTCTTTTTCAAGAAATGAAGACCAGAAGTGTAGAAGGCTGTAAAAACAAGAAAACAAAATTGTCAACATTTTTTTGTTGATATCCTTCATCACCATGAATTAAGTGCAAATATCACGATGGCCTTTCACAGCATAACCGGTTACTGTACAAGATGATATTTTATCACATCTGCCTGGCAGTTGCGCAAAAAAGTTTTCTCTTTGGTATCTTGTTGTCAACTTTCTCTTTTTTTTTGCAAATGCCGAAAATTTGGCCAAAGGGACATGGTGCGAACCGCCATGGTTTTAAAGAATTTAAGCTTGTATTACTGATGAGGCCACCCTGCTTAAAGTTGGTGTTTACGTGCTTTTTGGGCGTGACACCTTGAAAAATAGTTTTTCAGATTGAATGGATAATATTCTAGCCAATCGGCCCACGACAATCAATCACTTAATTGATTTCAACTTTTGAATTAAGAACGGGACGCTTAATTAGTTCTGAATAGGGTGCGCAATTTCTGGAATGGAGCGCGCCATTTAAAACCACTTTTTAAAACTGTATACGGAGGCATGCAAATATAAGTAAATTATATTCCTTTAAATTTGTTCGGAAAAGAAAATCGAAATTTTGAAAAAGCACCTATATATCAACTTTAACCTTTCAAATTCCAAAAACTATACAATCACGTGCTGTATATTCGTCAAGCTTTCTAACAGCTTCTCCATAGATAGATGATCATTGCCATACGCTTTGCATCAAAGCAACAACACCTTTTCATTGAAAACAACTCTAATGACATCATTAACCATCCTTCTATGTACCTCTTCATGTGCAGAAAGGAAATAGATGAGCGGTCTTTTTGCATATTTTACAAACATCAACAAAAGAGACACAAGTAACCATGAGCCTAATTGCCTCTGCGCGCCGCATTTTGATAAAATGTTCAGTCTCGTCGTCGGGTATTATTAGTTTGTGGCAACGCTATTCAATAATTTAGATGGGCAGTCAGGCTCTGCCAGTTGGGTATTAAACGGCTCTATTCAATGTTTCTTTGAACCGCTTCAGTCCTTCTTTGTACCGCTTTATAGAAAGGAAATATATGTAGACGAGCGGACGGTTTGCATATTTTATGAGCAAAAGAGACACAACACTAATTGCCTGTGCGTGCCGCATTTTGATAACATTTTCAGTCTCGGTGTCGATGTCGGGAATTAGTTTCTATAGCAACGCTATTCAATACATTAGATATACCTAGGTCTCCTTGTTCGATCACGTTTCACATCGCGTACTTGTATAAACAACGCCAAGATTTACCTACCTACATCCGATGGATTCTTATGAAGCCCGGGAAGGGACAGGGTGGAATTCTTTTTTGGAATTTCCTAATTCGTTCGCACAAATTACTAATTCGTTCGCACGAATTGCTATTTCGTTCACACCAATTGCTATTATTTCGTTCCCACGAATTGCTAATTCATTCGCACGAATTGCTATTTCGTTCGCACGATTTCCTAATTCGTGCGAACGAGTTAGCAATTCGTGGGAACGAATTACTAATTCGTGCGCACGAATGAGTAATTCGTGGGAACGAATTAGTAAATCGTGCGCACGAATTAGTAATTCGTTCGAACGAATTAGGAATTACTAATTCGTGAGAACGAATTACTAATTCGAACGAATTACTAATTCGTGAGAACGAATTACTAATTCGTGCGAACGGATTAGTAATTTGTGCGAACGAATTAGTAAAGCGCACGAATTAGAGGTAAAAAAATAAGTGGCTTGCTCAATTTCATAAAAAATAACATATGGATAAAGTACATGCTATTATTTTACTAGTAACTGTGAAAAAAACCCTGCTCTGTCCAAATTTTATATTAAATAATGCGAACCCCCCCCCCCGTTCTGACACCCAAACAAATTATACTGTTCCTGGTAAAAATGTCCGCCTGTGCACAAAATACGGACAGAGCCAGCTTGGTTAGGCCTTAATACACTATTCAATATAGTGTTAATAATCGTTGGATTTAAACAGCGCCCCCATTGAAAGTATGGTACGACACCCCCCCCCCCCCCCCCCCCCCCATTGCTTGTCGGAGGCCAAGTCTACGGAGATAAAAAAAACCCTGTCTACATTTCAGACTTTTTGGCCGATGAACCCCCCCCCCCCCTGCAAAAATTCCTGGATCCGCCCCTGCTTAATTATGACTAATAACACTTTAACCGTGTACTGACTGGGTAAAAACTGACACTAAGGCAAAAAAAAAAAAAAATTGTCGGTCTCTGGTCCGACCAAATTTTTTTTTTTTTTTCAAGCTTGGATTTTACAGACAGGGTGGGTACTATTTTTTGTTTTTTTGTGTCCTCATATACATTGGTGTCCTCCATAATTTGCCTTTGTGCCCTTCTTCATTTGCTTTGGTGCAATTTCCCCATTCCTTGGTACACAAATTTGAGGAGGTGCGGCAATAGAGGGCGCTGTTGTAGCTACCGAAGTCTGGTTCCCAGACCAAAAGATTCCGACTATTCCTGATGAATCTTGGGTCCGGTAGCCTCCGGTAATACAATTTATTACAATTTACGTCACGTGACTAAAATGGGAGGAATTCCTCCTTTTTCCGAAAATTTCCGAAGTTTGCCGAAGTCGTTTCGTCGACAATCGGATAGCGCCCGAGAATTTCCGAGTATGTAATATAGGTTTAATTAACTGCTAATTGCTTATTAATTTTATTTTAAATGAGTTGATAATTAATATTCATTGTTTTCATTTAGAAAACTTGAAATTCACCGACGATAATGTGCATCAAATATACTCGGATCGTACGGGCGAACTTTTTGCTGCGTCATGTACAATTTTGAATTTGACGACCGTTACCGAGATTTTCCAAAACTCGGTCTTCATTCGGCTCTGCCTGCTAACAGTGCTATTTGGTTCCCTAATTTTGAAGATTCCAGATCAACATTACTCAATATTATCTTACAAAAACATCAAACTGTATTATCATAACTGTATGACATTACGAAGCAAGTAATTTATTTAAAGATTCGATCAGAACATTAAAAGCTACAAGTGATAAAGCTCAATGGACCGATCTAGTAAGCCCCTCCCACTGCGCGCGTGGGCAAATTAACACGTGCTCCTCTCCAATGCCACACTGCATTTTCCTGCCGCGCGCACCATACGCGCGTACACACATGTCGGACTTTTGTGCACGCACGTCGGACATAAATCACGGCTGTGATTGGTCAGAATACCATGGGGCGGTGCTTACTGGATCGGTCCATTCGACAAGCTTTGCAGTCCCTTCGCCCTAGAATCCTCATACTACAAAAAGTCAAAATAACATGTGCATTTTTTTCACGAAATATAAGGAAATGTTATTTTTTTTTCTAATCTGAGTAGTACAATCTTTATAGGAATGAGTTGCCCGATAGCTAATAACAGTTCCGACGGTGTATTTCAACTAGCGATTTCAGTTAGAAAACGTGCGTCAAAGGCAAATAATTTACAGGTTCATCATTGCTTGTCATGCAGTTGGTTCGTTTCCAAAAACAACACTCAATATCCAAAGAAGCAGTTCAGAACTTTACCTGTTCAGGTTTCAGCTCGAGAAAAACTCAAACAAACAATAACATGCATGCATGCACAACATTTAGATCACGAAAGACGATTTCGTTAGTTACAACTCCATATTTCAAACGATCAGCCAATTGACTGATCATTGGAAGTCACCTAAATTTCTAGATTTCTTCTAAATGACAAGAACTAAGCCAGACGGAATAATTTCACGAGGTGTTCAGTACCCTCCATGAGTACGACCTTATAATAAGCTTTTTGATAATAATTCGCTTGGTTACTTTTGGTATATACAAATGACCCTATATGCGTCTTTAAAACCACACCCAGTCATACTTTTCAACATCGGTGTTAACAGGCGGAAGGCTACCAAGGAGTGGCCGAGACATGTTCCGTAAGTGCCACTTGTCCTCCAGCGTCAGGTACCCCATTCTCGCCATCATACCCCGGCACTGTCCGGTCTTCTCGATCGCTCGGGCGGCTTCCACCGGGAGGGTAAGCCGCCACTTACGGTACACCTCTCTAGAGTTTCTCGCTGTGGAATAAGTCCCCGGCTTGTCGGCCCCGGTGTTCGAGTCGATCCATTCCTGCACCGAGTCTGGAACCCCGCCATCACGACCGAGGAATCGGTAGATTCTCAAGGCGGCAGCTCTTGGATTCAAGGCCGCGTCCTCGTATCGTAAAAACATGTAGCGGTTCTTTAGAGAGGGTCGTTGGGTGCCTAACTCCAGGTTTTGACAGTTGTACTTGCAGTAAATACAGAGGACGTCTTGGACCTTGCCGGGAAGTACACCATTCCATTTTGAGTCTAAGACTTCCCACTTCAAAGCTTCCGCACGGGACGCTATCATAGGGCGAGGATCTCGCACTAGATGTATTACCTTCAGGTTTATCGTCTTCTCTTCCACCATGGGCAGCAAGAGATTGATGTCAGGAACACGAATCGACTTGATGACAATTAAATCACTCTTCTGACAAGTCTCCGTTGCCATCTCTGGGGTGATCACACACCGCCCTTTTGGGTCTGTCGAGTTAAGAACGCACAGATCGTACAGTCTGGGCGCCATCTTTAGTAGGTCCGCCAAGGGACGGGCCGCCAGCCACTCCATGTAAAAATCCAGGTCGCTGAAATCGCACAGGAAGATCTTTGGAAGCATCCTCAAGTACACGTGTTCCACGACCGCTGGCGACAGCCCGTTCTGTCGGAGTGCGTCGTGAACAGCAAGGCCCGGCTCGAAGAGGTAGAACACATCGCCGTTGTTGGCCAGAAGTTCCCCGACGAAGGATGAGCCGGTGCGCATGCTGGCCAGAATGACCACATGCTGCTTCCCGTCACCAGGAACAGTTGTTGGTGAAAAACTCCTTCGTAAGCTTTTCACCGGCATCGAGGTAGTCTCTGGACTCAATGCGTTTCTCCATGATGCATTCCTTCTCGCAGTCTGTAAAATCCGGGGCGGAGTTATCTCTATCCGCCCACTTCTCATCGACACAAACCCCCAAGCGGCAACAAAAATCAGAACTCCAAGAAAGTAAAAACAATGTTTACGACTACCAGACATCATGGATTTAGAAATCATGCCCTTTTTTTCTTCAAAAGAAATTGTCAGTGTTCGGTTGCCCAATTGAGAAATGTGTTTAATTTCTCCATGGTTGCCCGTACGTGCACGCTGGCCGACTTCGGAAATTCAACTGGTTATACATTATAAGACAACCGCAAATTATCAAGGAACATGTATGATGTATTACGTAAACATAATAAACAAGTGGGAGCTTCTATTTTCAACAATAGGGGTTATAAAATAATAAATCAGGACCAACATCCTCCTTCTTATACTTGTCACGATTCAGAGTTAATTATAGTTAAAACCCCAATCCAAACACTTAGCCAACATTTCATCTGTCACATAACACAATCCCGAATGCCATATATAGATCTTATATAAGCGCGCGCTCCCCCATCTAGCATCATTTGGCGAAACCAGCCCCCCCCCCCCCGCCCCTTAAATATTTGCCTTTCTGCCCCGCAAGCCAACGTGTTTGCTTTATACTGTTGTTGTTTTCCTTCCGACTTCCAAATCTCAACATGCACACATAATGACTGGATAAACTCCAGGCGGGCTTATATCGGCCTCTTCAAGTTTGGAGTCGCCCCTATAAGAGTAAACTTGGCATGTCTCAAGTGGGTTGACTACTGGATGAGTGGGCAAGGGCGGATCCAAAACACATATTTTGGGGGGCCCCAAAAAATGCTGGTCCCCAAAAAGTGGGTCCCAAATATTACGGCGTGGGGCTCGGGGCCCGCTTAAGGCCCGCTTAAGGCCCGCTTATTGGGCCCCAATTTTTTATTTTGAATCTAGATGCTCTGTGGTGCGATCTGATGCAATGCACTTTGACAAAATATTTTTTAGGAAAAGATGTTGGTATAATGGGACGTCACTTAAAAGAAATATGTGGTTCTTTTTTTCTCTTTTTTTCATTGGATTAAAAAAGATATTTATTTAGTTTGAAGTTCGAATGATAATACGTAATTCGATTAGGGAAATAGTCACTCGATTTTGCTGTCTAAATTACATTTGAAACGGCGGTTGTCAGGTGAAACCCGTTTCGTCTAAAAGACTAATAGGAATGATCAGCCATCAGACACATTTTCCCCCATCTCTATTATTTACGATCTCTTCCATGTTTGTCTGTTAAAAGGCAACCTATACCGAACATTGCTCAGTGCCTTCGGTATTTAGTCCAAGCTCCATACCAGAAACCGGAGAATTTGTTTTTGGCCCAGACCTATGCTGATTTTTTGGGTATATATTGGTGGGATGATTTTGCATCACAAGATATAGGATGACCTTTTGGAGTATACCGGTAAGTAAGAATAAACCAAACAAACAATCTGAGATGTACCATAAATCAATCGGAAGACCTTTATTTTAAGTTCACTTCAACAAACTTATTTATAAGAAATCATGGAAATCAAATCAAAATTTGAACAAATCGATCACTGAGGCGGCAATGTATATATTATTTGTGTGCAATTCAAGATTTCAAAGGGGGGGGGGGCACGGGGGGGGGGGGTAAAGGGGGACGGACCTCCGCTTCCCCCACCCCCAGCCCCTACCCTTGTTACACCACTAATTTTGAGCGAATCCGTAGAGTGATGTGTGATTTTGACCTCATTTATCTTGGTAAAGATGTCAATATCCATTTTTTGTTTGAAATTGACAAAATGTTATCCTCACATTTTGAGCATTTTTTTCCCCATTAAAGATACTGGTAAATTAAATAAAACATAAAATATCAAATTTAGAAAACACCTGGGCTGTCCATTTTCAAACAATTTAGTATTCGATCATTTAAAACTGCATTTTGACCGAATATTCGAATATTCGGAACTAAGTTGATCAAATTGTACACACGCCTGCAGCTGCAGCTGCCCTCGCTGGTCAAAAGTAGTCTGGGGGCTAGACGTTGTTCTTGTTTGATACGCGATAACCCGCCACCGCGATAACCGGCCACCACGAGATGGCGCCATCACGACCAACCAATATTGCCCACGAACCTGTTGTCGGAACAACGTTTAGGGAAAACTGCTGATTTTTCCCCCATTTCCATTATGGCTGTTCACTTACGTTTTTGGAAGATTGGAAAATTTCCCATTCCGGGGGGGGGGGGGGGGGGGGGAACGTGCAACAATTAAACAAAACAAAAAAAACCCCACTTTTTTGGTTTATTTCTGCTGGGAAATATTTCCAAAGTTGAGGTTCTTTTTTCAGTTTACATATTATAGTTTACATGTTTTATTTCTTTATATAAATAGTTTATGATAAATATCGATTTTTTTTCTAATGATATATTTATTTATTCGGCCGGTGTGACAGGTAATTCTGTCCCCCTGGTAAATGTGTCCCCCCCCCCGGACACATTTACCGGCTCGTGACCCGGTAAATGTGTCCGGGGGGACACTTTTACCTAGGTAGATTTGTCCCCCTCCAGGTAAAATTGTCCCCCTAAAATTGCGCCATGCATCGCCGCTATATTGACCTATCGCGGTAGAATCGCGATAGATTTCACCGTACTCCAAATCGAAACGTTGTCTTCACATATCATCTATTAGACCAAATTAAATATTTTTATATTCATGAAGGGCAGACTAAAAGTCCAAAATTGTATACCTTGTAGAGTGAATTAAAAAAATAAACAATAAAGAGAACTGGCCTTCCGGGTTTCAAAAGAGGGGGACAAAAAACCCTGGGGGACAGAATTACCTGGAGGGGGACAGAATTAACGGGCCGGGGAGGACACTTTTACCTAGGTAATTCTGTCCCCCCGGACAGTTTTACCGGGGGACAGAATTACCTTCCACACCGGCCGCGGTCAGCTTTGAGTTCGAGTCTGTAACTTTTTTCGGTCTGCCGTTAGGGGCGCCCTTTCATCCACCTGTTCTGGCTTTCAACACCACCCACGTTGCGTCGCTTGTGCGCTAAACGACGCCCAACTGAACTTCACGCATTTTTCAATCTCTTCAACAACCTGTCCACTCGATTGCCGGACCTGCAATTCTGAGGGCCAAAAAAAGCTTCGATTTGTAGCGAAACTTCACGATTTTCAGAGGTAAGTTGCTACTCCTGTTTGTCATAAGGATTGTTAGACTGTTCGATCTGGGTGTCATTGCTTTTGATGATTGTTGAGAACATGAAATTAAGGTTTTTTTCAGACGCATTTTTCTAGACGACTGCTGCGGAATTTGGCCCCATCATGCCCATGTTCTGTGGGTGCGTATCGGGGGGCTTGGCATTAAAGACAGCGTTCACCAAAACTTCGATTGTGGGGGTACGGCCCACGGGTGTGCCTTTTCATTCCGCGTTTAGCAAGTACGTCTCCTTTTTCATTATAACCTTAGCAATTGACTTTGACTACAGTAGTTTTGTTCAAATATGTAAAAAAAAAAAAAAAAAAAACCCTGAACTGCTGAAATTTAAGTAGAAGTTTTTAGTTCATGTATATGTCATGTATGTAGTCAGTGGTGGTTATGTGTTAGGAAGTGGCTACTGATCCGGTACCGACTACCACGACTACTGGTCCCCGATTTTGCGAGGCGGTTATGGAACCGGCAGCAATAACTTGCATGAGTCAGATCTTGATGTCACTTAAAATAAAGTTATGAGGTTTAATTTTCGGTAGCCATCGAACATGTCAAGTGCCTCGGTGGTCTAAGCGGTGGTATGGACCATGCCAGGTCATGGGCCCAAATCCTCTTGAAGTTACGTTTTTCCCCTTTCTCCCAAATTGTCAGTTTTTTTTTCTTTCATTGCCTTAAATCAAAGTGACATCAAGATCTGACTCCTGCAAGTTGGATGATGATGCCTAGCGGCGATGTCCAGTCAACTTTCTGAGATTCTGAGAATCAAGTAAAACTTCTCAATTAAATGAAAGTTCACTTTTTTTGCAATTCATGGTTTTGGACTCCCTTTGGAGCATTTTTGGAAAGATTTCCATATACAAAGTTCACACTAATTTTCCGCTGTATTGATTAACAAGCCCCCAGATAGCAATTTCATGTCATCAAAGTCAATTTGAGCAGTGAGAAAATACAAGCATTTTCTTAGAAAACACTGAGAATTTTTCAGTCCAATCTCATAGGGTTTGTACACAGGGTGTTGAGTGAACTTCGTATTTATAAGGAAATCTTTCCACAATTTTTTCCAAGGGAATTATAGTCCGAGAACCAGTTCCCAAAGACTGACACACGTGCGCATTGTTGCTACTGCCGGTTCTGTAGCCCTGCAAAATCGGGGACCGGTATCGGTTATGAGACATCTGCCTAGAAAATACATTTTACACATGTACGTAAATGGTAAAAGACGTTTTCACCACGCCCATAGACTTTGTCATGTTTGCATAGTAAAATCAATTCATACAAAGTTGCATGGTATATACACTGCCATTTTCAGGCTGTAGGTCTAAAAGACAAATTCTGGATGTCAGAAATAATCGAATAACCCTTTTTTCATCATAAAACTATGAAAGTCCTGTAGCGTTTTTATGAAATCCAAATTTAATTTTCATTTTCAAACCATAATTTTTTTCATAACTGAAAAACGGCCGGCAAGGTGTGCACATAACATTTGCATATATTTCTGACTAGGATCCACCTTTGAACATCAGGCAGATGGCTCTGCCGCAAAATCGTCTACTTGAGGTCAACCATCATTTGGCAATTATAGGTCAAAGGTCGCAAATTGCGCTGCACTATCAATGATGGGCGCTATCCAATATCACCGACCTTTGGAACACCTTAACGGGCAAGCCCACAGCATGGTGTAAAGTATCTGGGCGAGACATCTGTGCACATGGCAAACGAAGCTATATAACAAGTGTGCGATTATGATTGTGTGCCCAAGCACTGAATTGTTTGTACTTGTTGTCAGGCCTGCTTGGTGTATGGAGACTGAAATAATTATTTGTGCAGTATTATTGACAAATGGTTGAGATGTACTCTACATGAAAGCCAGACTTGGATCTTGGGTGCGGAAAAACATACAAAACAAAATCAGGCCAACTTTACACACTCTTTAGCTGACAAAATTCTCCGACATTTTTCATGAGGCAAAGACAAGGTGCTCAGTATTTCACCAGCCAAGTTTGAGGTCTCAATTTATTTTTTTTGAAGGAGACTTTTCTTCAGCATTTTGCACCTGAGAGAGAGTCCAGTGAAGCCAAGTGATTGTAATTTGAAACCTAAGGCTAGGCTGGTACCTGTCCAACTATCTGAAAAGATTGAGCTATTTCTGGTGGCATAACTATGTGTAACTTAGAGAATGTGTAGAAATAGAGACTAGGTACCAGATGTTTCTTTGGATACAGTTGATTGATGCAGTACTAAAGGAGGTGTTGGACTGTGTTTCGTGTGCCAGTCTATTTTCTGGTATTGTATGTTAGGACTGTCGTAGGTTTTGGGACGATCATAATACAGTATTGAGGGTCCCAAAATTTCAGAGTACATGAAAGCCATCTTTAAATGGCATATTTGCATCATTTGTTGGTGAATATGCAGACAACTGCACTCAAATTGAACCCTTGGCAAAGTTTTAGACCCCATAATTTTAGTGGAAGAAACCAACTTTGGAATGAAAAGTTAACAACTTGGTATGTAATTGTTTATTAATTTAACAAATAGCTGAATTTATTGAATTCAGGCCAAACAACAAATTATGACAACATTTAGAAATGTGATTATTATATTAGCATGTTTTCCATGACACCCAGGAAGAACAGAGTGAATACTGATAGAACCCCTTGTAAAATAACACAGAATAATGAACAAACCAACAACAATCAGAGAACATTGCTGAAATTTACATTTTTCTTCTTTTGTTGGGGGAAATGCCTCACAGAGTTTGTCCCCATGGCCCCCAAGGCCCATGCATTATGGAATGCTCGCTTGCAATGGATGAAAAAAATATTGTTGTTGAGAAAGCTATAATGGCATGACTCTCATAAACATATTTTCAAGGACATTTCGACCTACATGTACATGTACATGTTACTTCTCTGTACATGTTGTCATGTTGACAACATCCTGGTACATTAAATGTTCATATAATGTACTTACCACATTAAATTCAACTGTACATTGCACATACTATGATGGGACGCTAGTCATATTGTGGTCTGAAGTTAGTCTGTAAATATAGAATGAAATGTATGTGTACATGATGTACAAAGTACATTTTAGGTTTGGAATAAAGAGATATGTTTACTGAATGCTGGTCATTCTTGTAAATTTTGTGCCATTTTTAGATTCAGGGCTGTACAATTTTCAATTACTTTTTTTCTTTGTTTTTTTTTTCCGCAGTCTTGCTTTTTTCAATAATACCCTCAGTTTTTAATAATATCTTGTGAGTTTCTTATTACCTGCAGAAACTGATAAAATATGAATAACTCTACTCAATTTTCAGACTCTGGAAATTGGCATCTCCTAAGAAACTGTATAGTCAAGCCCCACAAAATGCAATTATCTTATTCGCCTTCGAATGTACAAGTACATGTGTACACGTTAAATCTTTCGTGTTATCTATCGCATTAGGAGTTTAATCGCTTACTAGACCTAACATGTTCCTTCGGATTACTAGTTCGATTGTTACTGATGAGAATATGTGACTCATTGTCTTTAGGGGCCCAACCCCAATGTGTACATTAAAACCACAAGTACATGTATGTGTGGCATACATGTACTACATTACTGCGTTCTGAAATGGTTATTATTTGTGTACATGTACGGTTACAAATGTACGCCAGATTTGGAGGCTTACAAATGGTTACACTTCGACCCAGAAAAGCAATTATGAGATCTCAGGCCTTTCAAAATAAAACCGAACCACTGCATGCTTCACTAACCTTACCTAAAATATAACCTTGGTGGTTTTTTTCCCCATAAATTTTGAAGAGAGATTCTCGTAAAAATGCCTGGGGAAATTTAGTCTGAAGGTAGGGACAGAAAATGGCCAAGGTATTTGCATTGTGGTGATTTCTGTGGCATATTTGTGTGGGTGTGTGGGGCATTTGTAAGGCAGGAATTCAGTAGTCTTTTTTGATAGTGACGTATTTTGAAGCCATATGTAGGAGTTCTGGTTTTTATTTTGCGGGATGGTAGGAGAATGTTATTCAGTGATTTTTTTGTACATGATGCATAAAATGTAAAACAATGTTGATAAATTATGCATTTGTAACTGCATGGTTTATGATGGTGTATGCATGCATGTTATAATAGTTGCAGGTACTGCATACACATAGAACCTGTCGTTTTCTTGGGCACTGCCGTTACAGTTTTTCCAACTAATGGTGGGCAAAGGATGGTTTGCCAGAATTACAAACAAAACCATCACAAAATAATACAATGAATTAAAAAGTATTACAAATATTAATTCAAAAAGTATTTAAAACAATAATTCAAAAAAGTTTTAAAAATGTACGCATTTCAATGTATTTTTTACTAGGCCTATAAGTTGAGTTTCTAAGGCGATTTGTAAGTTTTTTTTTTTAAAGATACTTGGGGTACCCTTTTATGTGCTTTTGATCATTTTTTACAATGGAAACAGCGCAAAACAAATTTTAAATTATTATTATTTAAAAAAAAATAAATGAAGCAAATTTTAAAATACTGAAAAGTCAAAAGGCACTATGGAAAGAGTACCGATACAATTAATCCTTTCTGAAGGTAAAAATGGACCATTTTTAGGCAAACTCTTCTGGCACTCAATGATTCAGTGATCTATGAATGATGGCCACCCGTACCTAATGGTTCTCACCCCTAACTGTGCCAATTTCAACAAGATGAAATCGACACTGCACCTGGGAGTTTAGGGTTAATTTTTGTCAATAAACAGGGACCCGGCAGTGTAATGCAACACCACACCATACCACACTGTAGGACTATACAATAACATACTACACCTGCCAGGCATGCAACTAAGAAGCCACAAAAATTAGACGAAATTCCAAGCTTTTACAAAACTCTTGGTAGTGTTTTTCAAATATTTACTGACATCCAAGAGGCGTAGAAAAAGAGGAAATAATTGATATTATTATGCGCTTTGTTGTGCATAGCACCC